ATAATTATTCATCAGTAATTAAGCACTAACTCAGTCATATTTAATCGATTGGATGAATTTACTGGAGAGGATAACTTTAAATATGTTAGATGTAATAGCAATTTGAATAATTCAGGAGACCAATCTCAAAATGTGACAGATGTTATGGACTAAAATATCGAAATAATCCTTGATTCTAGTGTGATAAGCTCACAAAAGAAAGTAGACATCGTGAGTTGGGCTGGGTGACGACACGGAAGGAGGTGATAGGCACAAATATGGTGTCCCCATGTGTCGAAAACTTGTAAGGGCCCGTTTGGATGGGGTATTTTGCTCCGAAAATTAAGCTAGATGATTAGCTGAAGAGAACCAATCCTTTCTCACAAGGATGGGTTATCAGGCTAAATGATTAGCCAATGATAATGATCTATGATGATCAATGAAAATGGAGGTGAGATGGGCTTTTTGTCAATGTAGCCTCTCTCTCTCTCTCTCTCTCTCTCTCTCTCTCTCTCTCTCTCCTTAATGGCAAAGCCTCTCTCTCTCTCTCTCTCTCTCTCTCTCTCTCTCTCTCTCTCCTTAATGGCAAAGAGTCTAGCTAAGATAATATCAGCACAAGACCTTTTCCTCCGCCTTGTTAGACCCTAGATGAGGGATGATTAGGGTCTTGTGCTAATCTAATCCAATTTAAATACCAATTAAAACTAATTCAAGTATAATTCTTGCAAGATAGATATACAATATGTTATGAGCAAGAATATGCAATATGAACAAAGAGATATATCCTATATAGTGAAATATATGCAAGGATATATAAACAACACAAGGGTAAATAATCTAAACTGAAGATACAATTGTGATAGGGCAATATAAACAATGCAAACACACAATATGATCACAGAGTTCGGACCTTCCAGATACAATTGTGATAGGGCAATATAAACAATGCAAACACACAATATGATCACAGAGTTCGGACCTTCCATCCTACGTCTCCGTTCCCCACTCTTGGGAAGAAATCCATTATCACAACCGGGTTTTTTAAGCTCACCCGAATAACGTTTACACCTCACACTCAGTTTTCTAGCTAACCGAGAACTTTACAATCTCACACTCTTACAATCCAACTTTACACCCTCTTAAGTGTTGGTCTCTAGTCCATGTCTCCCTTAAGTAATAGGAATTAGAACCTCTCTCTAGGCATTACCACCTACTGCACTCCTTTTGGGAGGACTCCGTCTCTCACCACACACTCCTCTCGGTGTACAAGTGTATTACAAAGTGATCTACATAATTAAGGCTCACAAATACAAATTTGTTCTCTATAATAGATGAGAACTCAATTAAGCTCACTCTCAATTGTTACAACTCTCCACAACCCAATTATACAATGTATGCAAATACAACAAGCTCAATGGTTGTGTGTGTAAGCAATGAGAAAATTAATCATAAACTCAATGTAAACCCTAGCTTGATAAAAATGATAAACAACAAATAATTAATACAGACCTAGTATTGAGTTAGAAATTTTTCTCTAAAAAACAAGATGGGGAGATGGATTAAAATGAAGCTTCAAACAATATAGATGATCTCCTCCACTTCTAAGAAACTTTTTCACAAACAAACTCTTTTAAAATACACTAAACAAACTTTAAAACTCTTGTTAAACTTGTTTAAAATATTTCTTGGATTTTTTGAACTGAGGATATGTGCGAGTATTTATAGGAACCCCAAAGCCAAGAGAAAACAAGGCAAAAAGGCTAAAAACCCAAAAATAGTACAATATGCAAATATTGTCGTTGCAGTGTTATAAGTCGACTCAGTATTGTTCATGAGTCGACTCATAAGTAACCGTTACAGGCTAAAAACCAACTTATGGGTCGACTCATAAAATTCATGATTCGACTCATGAATGGGTCGACTCATGAAGTCATGGGTAGACTCAGCAAAAACAAAACATATTTTCCAGCACAGTTTGTGAGTCGACTTATGACAGACATGAGTCGACTCAACCTGATGGGTCAACTCATAATGTTATGAGTCGACTCATCAGAAATAAAATATAAACTACACAACAGTTTATGAGTCGACTCAATACTGTTCATGAGTCGACTCAAGACATGCACACTGCCTGTTTTTAACAGAAATCTGATTTTCAAACCTTTTTTAAAAATAGCAAATAAAATCAAAAAAATGTAAAACTTTGGAAAATAATTGTAAACATGATAATAAACACATGAGTTTTGACATGATAGCTTAACCATGTTTTGAAACATTATAAAATGATTTTGTAGACTTAATAAAAGATGTGTATGATTATTGTTAAGTCCAAAAACTAAGAATATAATATTTTCACAAAATTACATCTTTTGCAAACTTTTTAAAAATAATAAATATGATTTCATTGAACTAAATAAAATTGATATTGATGAAATCATATATATGCATATAAGTATGAAACAAGAAATGTATTTTCAATTGTATTCAATTGTTTCGTATTAAAACCTAAAAACTATTAAACCAAAACATATATGTATATATATAACTATATATATAAAACCAAAACGTGTATGTGTGTATATGATTGAGCTTAGAGTACGAGCTTAAATTACTTAACACACATAATATAAACTCCTAAACTAGATTACCCAAGCTATAGGTCTTTAATAAGCTCGACTTGGTACACTTGCGGATGAAACTTGAACTTGAATCTTTAACTTGAATTGCATAGCTTCATTCCACGATTTCGCTAACCTCCATTGGATATGATCGTGAATGTTTGATTTCATCCATCCTCCAACATATTGTTTGTCTATAATAAATCGAAAACCACAAACACTAGACAAACAACATTAGTGGTAAATTGTTTGTTAAACATCATCAAAACAAAGAGGCCAACACGCCTCTCTCCCCTCATGTGCCCCCTAAATAAAAGATCTTCCCTCCTTTTATGGGCTAAAAGAAAGAGTTAATGGCCCCTTAATTGTGAATTAAGTAGCCATTAAAGTGGGATATAATGGGATAGGTTATTCTCTAAAAATAGCTTCTTAAATAGCTATCTAATGAACTTAATGGGCTTGGTGAAGTTCGCTAAAGATGTAGGCAGATGTCGCTAAAGTCATGAGTGAGGGTCATGGGCAAGTCTTCTTCAAAAGTGGATGACTTGGACCACTTGAGTTGACGTGGTAGAGTTTATCAGCTAGCAAACGTCACCAATGAGTTTGAATTTAACCTGATGATGTTTATTGACTCGATCTGGAGAGAAGGGATGACTCGGCCTGGTGAGAAGGGATGACTCGGCCTGGTAAGAAGAGACACCTTCTAGTGAGAAGGGATGACTTGGCCTAGAGAGAAAGGACGACTCCTTATCAGAAGGAGGAGAAGTATCACCTGTTTAGTCGCCCTCAAAAGTTATTAACCTGACTGGAGAGAAGGCATGCCGCCTGGCAAGAAGGGGCGACTTGGCCTGGTGAGAAGGAACGAGATGGCCATGCGAGAAATGTTTTGGGAGTTGACTCGCTTATGATTTGGTCTATTCGAGTCGTTATGGGCTATTCGGTGAGGTTCACTTCAATCATCAGACCTTCACTACAGCCTATTGTGGGCTTGACTTTGGGCCCATTTGAAGTATTTAGCTCATGCGCGTTCAGTTCTTAAATCCAAGCTTATCATTAACCTAAATGAAAATATATTTTGACCATCTACAAGACCCCTAAAGTTTTCAAGATCCTAAATTTTGATTTATATTTAGTATGGAAATACTTTGGGTAAATAGTCAAAAGTGTGCTGTTGAACATGACTTAAATTGTCTTGTGAAACTTGTCTTTATTTGCCTATTTGGTTGCCAGAGGTACACTGTTGAATATAGCTTTCTTGATTGTAAATACTTGTATTGAAGATTCAATGATGCTTTTATTCGTCCAGATTCATGCTTGGAATGAAGTTCGTCTTTTCTATTATTGAGGCGTGGACATTCAGTGAATTTTGATTGACTCTGGGCATGAGTGAAGCTCGCTTGAGCATGTCTGAATGTTTGCATAGCAATTGGAGCATAGTTGAATCTTGGCGTAACTGCTGGAGCATAGCTGGA